CTTCGACAGATACACACTCATAGATATCTAAGCGATTTCAGAGTACTAAATACCAATCACTACACATTATAAAACAAAGTCTTCTGTCTGTTTGTCTGTCTGTTCGCGATAAACTCAAAAAATACTGCACCGATTTTCATGCTGTTTTCATCAATGAATAAAGTGGTTCTCGAGAAAGGTTTTAGTATATAATGTGTTAAGTTTTTGTATACATTGGCTAAAATATAGCGATATTTGTTGGAAAAAAATAAGCCGTCTGGAAGTTTTCAACGAAAACGCTGCCTAAACCCTTTGAGATATAACAAAATAACGTATGGTGGAATTGCGTATCTTATATATGATCTACAGAAAAGCCCGCAATGGCTGTTTATTTCTTAAGGATAACATACTATATTCATTTTAATCTTTACATAGTATAAAATGAAGTCACTTCTGCTCTCTGTTCGCTTAGATCTTTTAAAATACTCAACGGATTTTAATGCAATTTTCAGCAATAGATAGAGTGATTCAAGAGGAAGGTTTATTTCTATAATATATGCATACTATAGTACAGAAAAGTCGAGTAATTCAAAGATTTCATACTATAGTACAGAAAAGCCGAGTATTTCAAAGATTTATATTTTATACTAACCGTTAAAACGTACCTAGGGACGAACCCGAGCGAAGCGGGCGAGGGTGAGTCGCTAGTATGTAATATATATGTATGTACATAGGTATATCCTTATATTTGAAAAAATAACAGATGACTGTTAAAAGATTCCTAAGCTAATCGAAATTGATATAGCATGTAATTGAAAGTATAAATTTTAATATAACTTTATACTTAGACTAGCATTGTCCGCGGCTCTGCCCACGTTCAGATGACCAAAAACCAAATTCTTAGTTTTTACATATTAGTATACTCTTACTTTGCAGTTTTTGTTTTTTTTTTCTCAGAAATGAGATATTTTCCCGCAGTAAAAAGTATCCTATATGTTGACCCGGATAACCAGCTATCACCATACCAACTTTCAACAAAATCTCTCCAATGTTTTTTCTGTGATACGGTAACACACAGACAGACAAAAATTCAAAAAACGATTGATTTGGCCTCTGTATCGGTAATAATGTTTATTTCAATAAGATTATCCAAAAAAATATTTAATGTACAGATTCGGCTTAGTTACAATTTTATTATATGTATAGATGGGGATTGAATAAAATACACATATGAAAATTTAATCAGTACGCTGAGTCTATTGCTTGAACGTAGATATGAAGGTAAACGGTGTGAGTGATATTACGACTTACTATTTTTTTGAGAGATGAGATTACTCTATATATCACTGTTAAGTGTGTAAAGTATCATTTATCATCCTGTACTCATAAATATTTAGATAGAGTAATTTATACATATTATGATTAATTAATAAAATTACTTTTTATTACTAAACTTATTTATTTTATAATATACCTATTTTATCTTACTTAATAATATAAATGTGAACGCCAGAACGTCTGAACAGATCTGGATGAAATTTGGCACAGAGATAGATTATAGCCTGGAATATCATATAGGCTATATATAATCTACCTCTTATACTTTTTATCCCGGAAAACGTACGGTTCCCGTGGGATAGAATTGTTTTATTTATAGAGGCGAGCCCGAGCGTAGCGAGTTATTTATTTTCGAGATGTTATGTTAAAAATGTAATATATTTAGACTGCGAATAAAAAATTATTATTATTTATTATTCACAGAAGTCCGTTGTATCATTTCCTATCATATGTCGTATGTGTATAGCGCTGTTATGAATTTTAATAATGTTTAAGTATCAAGATTTTTTAAATTGTATGTAGGTACAATAGAACTTAAAAGTCTGAAAACCAAGTAAAATTCCTACTTTTTCAAATTTTCTTAACTACAATTTTTTGCATAAAAACTCTACTACTTTGTTAGTACTTCGTACAGAATGATATTAAATTGCTTAACACGATAAAGTACCCATTAAAATTCGTTTCCAGAAATTATGCAAATAAGATTATAAGCGCTCGCTAACAAGGTACGATGTAGCAAAGATTGTTACTGAACTCAATTTCGCCCGTCCCTTGCGAATCCTTTGTATCTATTGAGGCAGTAAAATCCATTGTCTTATAATTTGTGGGAAGATAAAACTTTCGTATTGACTTGATTTGTATAGAAAAAATATGAGAACCTCCTCCTTTTTGAAGTCGGTTGAAAACATACTTAGTGCATAAATATGGTCTTTAATGTTTGCTTTTTTAATTGCTTTTATTAATGAAGATAATTATTAATTAACATAAAAACATTTAAAAAATAAAATAAAAACTGACTTCCAGGCACTAAAATGTAAAAAATAACTAAACGGTGGTTTTCATTTAAAATAGGTACCTAATCAGATATTTTCAAAGTCGGTGTCAGCCGATGCAAAGCAAATCTAATATATTTTGATACGTAAATTACATATTTTTTTACTTTATTTATTTTAGCAATTTATTTAAAAAATATATTTATTGTTGATTTTTTTTAAAAACGGTCGACCGCTTTTGATAAAATTTATATGGGACCACCTGGGAAGCCTTTGAAATAAAAAAAAAATCCAAATCGGTTCAGGCATCTTCGAGTAATCGGTGAACATACATAAAAAAAAAGATTCCGACGAATTGAGAACCTGCTTTGGAAGTCGGTTAATAAAATAAATGAGAATTTTTATTCCAATATTACACACGTGTCATAAACGTATGCAATTAAACTATACTTTGGCCACTTTAAATGATTATTTTTTCAAGTATAACATAAATTAAAGTATTTATTTAATTTGTATTGTAGGGACTATTGTTAGAATAAAACACAAATTCGATTTTTATATTTATTTTTCAACCTAACATTTCGTAACTTTCATAACTTGACAGATCACCAGCTAAATTTAACAGGTGTACTCAACTAATGAACATTGTTCATACCCCTTAAAATTATTATACAGTCAGTACCGAAAAACAATTAAAGATTTTATCACGAAATTTGCTTTTATCACGAAAATACTATACTTAATTTTACTAAATTCCATTTAATCAATTCATTTTTACATGAGACTTGTGAATTTATCGTTTTGCATAGAATTGAAATAGAAATTATGTAAAAGAAAGTGAGCGTGGAAGACATCATGAACGAAGTTATGTATATAGTTACAGTAAGATGCGAGAAAATGCACAAGTTTTAAGAAATGCTATAAGAATAAAAATTTCAATTCCTAATAGACTAATAACAAATGATAGGAACAAAATTGAAGAAGTGATAATGTTTTTTTTTGAAATGAAAGTATTAACTGTTTGTAATAGTTTATAATCTCGTATAAGTTTATAAAAATTATGAAAATTCCGAAGAAACTATAATATTAATTTATAATCTATCTTGTCACTTCTACAATATACATAAAGTATTGAGTCTATCTTCCATCGATTTCACAAGCTATATTAGAAATAGGAAAGGCACAGTCGAAGTATAAAATTTATTGCTGACTTCCCTAACTAATTGTTTTTACACAACGAGAACTACACAATAAAACATATTTTTTTTAAATAATTGATTAAGAAGAAACATGGTTGGTATCTTTGGTAGTTTCACATTTTAAGATAAGTAAGGTATTGAGCGCGAAAACAAGAATAAAATGCACTAAAGATATATTAATAGAAATTTATTATTAAAATAAATGTAAATTTGGCACCACTAATACATATTGCAAGAGCAACCCTAATGTTATTCGAATCTAATGTTATTGGATCTATGGCATTCCACATAGTGTAGGATTGTATTAATTGCAGTTTATAATTGAATGTTTCTACTTCCTAGTATGTGCGTATGCCAGTTAAACTCTAAATAAGTTAATGTTTTGTACGAAAATAGGAGTCATTTATATTCAGAAAATATTATTTTGTCTTAAAAGAGATTACTCAATTCGCGAACTTTTGGTTCTGTTATTAATCCTAATAGATTGACATAGATTTATCTAGAAAAAGTCAACTACAAGTCTAAACAGTCCTTTACTACGATTTGGTACAGTAAAACTAAACATTAATATTTAAAACAACATTACGATAGGCATTTCCATAGATAACTTATACATTTCTAAATTTCAATGATTCGAAACCCGTACTTAAAATGTAAATTAAACCTAATGTCCGAGTAAACATCTAAATAAAATCTACAAACATCAACCAAACTATGTTATCACACTCAAACTTATGATTCGTTGAGGATTCAGATATATCTAAATAAAATCTATACACAACAAATCAACATTAACAGCAAGCACCGTACGAATAAATAACTAGAACAAGTCACGAAGTAAACTTTAGCACTTGTAGAAAACATCCCACCACCACAAATTGACTAGTTCTAACAACTACCTAACTAATTTAAAAAATTAATCTTAACTTTATTAAAGTCTCTTCATAAAATATTGAACCGGCCGCGGTGGGAAAATAAAGGTGTTGAGGAAACAATATAAAGGATACTTATTCCAAACATTACCAACACTATCCCTCGATCGGTTGAAAAGAATTAAAGTTCTAACACAATTCGCACTAATCACAAAATAGAATTTTCATAGTTATTATTACACTACGACACTTTACAACCGAGTCAAACGTTTTAAACTTCACAACGATCCTTGGAGATGAAGAAGGGAATTGTATGAATAGGTTATGGTTGCCAATTATCTCGATATTCTTATTAACAGTTATTTAATTTTAAGAAAAATTAATTTCAAAACTTTGTATTACTAAAAAAGTAATTCCTCCAAATATACAAAAACAAGGAAAGAGAATTAGAATTATTCATTTTTTTGTAAAAAATAATAATCTCAATTTGTATATCTTTCTTAAATGTTTTTGGAAAATATTAATAAAGATAATTCGCAACCATGAAGGGTCATCTACATTCCCACTCTCATTTAGATATACACTTCGTGGTGTTGCTGCGGCCGGCCCTGCCTGGACTAGGAACCGCGTTCGAATAACTCCACATCTTCTGTTTTTGTATCAATTTTTCTTCTTTCTGCTATAACAATCCTTATTTTCTCTTCTTCAGTTATTGGTTGTTCTTCTGGTAATGGAGATTTCAAAGAAACTTGATCATTCGTTACTGCAGATTCTGTGGACAATCTTCGTTTTGAACGTTTAATACTTTGTCTTGTTGTAGGAACTGAAAGTAGTACTGGTGCTGGACGCAACAATCGTGTTTCTTCCCCACGAAGAGAATTTCTTTTATCGGCTCTTTGTCTTCTGTTTTGGGCAAAGGAATCTCTTCTCGGGCTTGTGGGTTCTAATTCATCGATGTCATCGGCATCAATAAATCTTGCATCTTCTTCATATAAAGCTGTCGGGGTCTCAGTTGAATCCTGCCGACGTCCAAATGCATGAGGAGATAATGAAGCCCTTCTTTGTATGACCGGAAGTAAAGCATGGTGTGAATGTAAGGTGCGTCGCCTGCGTGCAGGAGAGGGTATTTGGTGTTTTGGCTCGCTATATGTGAAATTGGCTGGTAAGGATGGTACCTTGTTTAAAGGACGAGGAGATGTGCATTGTTCTAACGCTCGGCAAAGTGCTCGATCTTCTTCATCATCTGCTTCACGCTCTAGTTCACGCTCTAATTCAACGTCCATATCGATTTCATCTTCCATTTGCTTGTGAGATTCTTCAAGGTGTTTCATAAGTACCTACAATCAGTATTATATCGTTATTACTCAATTTTTCATGCTATGTGCTATGCTTTTCATGCTTATAGCACATAATTTTGATGAAATTTATAAAAGATAGTGATGGCATCACGAAGTCATAAATTGGCAATTTTTTATCGTCACCCCGCTTACCATACCAGTTGGTTAGCAGGTAAAATTCTGGCTGGGATGTAATTTTCATTTATAGGTAAGAGTTGGTATCTTAATATATCTACCTTAGTATATATTAACAAAGTTGTAATATAACATTAATAAAAAAAAAATATTACACTTACCGCCACTACGACGTTGACCAACACAAACTGTGCCATTAGTACAAAAACAACGAAGAATATTGGTGCGATGATAGTTGATACGCAACAGTTGCGCACGCAATCTACAGAACTATCACAATCTTCTCGCAGAGTATCTTTCATGATACCATTCCAATTGTCTCCTGTGGCCACTCGAAATAATGTTAAGAATGCCATTCCAAAGTTTGCGAAATGAGCGTGTTCACCGAGACCTGTTAGCAGTACAATATTTTACTTGAATTTTTTTTTTCTACAATTAAGTTTAACAACTAACGAGAAGTTGTACCTTTTGCTATATTTTTGTTATAAATATATAAATGTTCAATATATTATAAAGCATATGGAAAAATGTAGTAATTATTTACATTAATTTTGTAACTCTTTATTCATCTTACCTTGACATGGAATTTCATCAGAACACTCAAGACGACCAAATAATTCTACTCCTAAAGCTGCAAATATGAAGAAAAGTAAAAAAAATAAGAGTCCCAAATTGCCCACTTGAGGCAAAGCTTGCATTACTGTATCTAGTAATGCTCTTATTCCTTTTGCCATTTTTAATAATTTAAGTACTCTTGCAATCCTCAAAACTCGCATTACCCTCATTATTGTCGGGTTAATTGGTATTATATTAGTTTCTAGTTCTTCCAAAACTATTCCAACTATCGATAGTATAACAATTATAACATCGAGTTGATTCCATTTATCTTTTAGGTAAATTTTAAACCCAAGCGCAACGAGTTTCATGACCGCTTCAAGAATGAAAACTGCGGTGAAGAAATAGTTAAATATTTTCAATGCATATTGTAATGCTGGTGGCATTCTATAATATTCTATAGCCATTGTAACGACATTCAAGCCGATGACTCCAGCAATTGCCAAGTCGAAATATTTGGATGTTACAACGTTATGCACAAATAGTCGAGTTTGTGAATAATCTGCATAATAAGGTCTTTGATGCATTTCTGGAACAAAATGAAAAAAAATTTCAATTTATATAAGTATTGCTCTTTGCAAGGTTTAATTAATAAGATTTAAAATTGGAATAACTTTGAAATAAATATTTTGAAAATAAATTTTTTGCATTACATCGAAATGACGGGTAATATGACCAGGTGCTTTAAAGTTTAAACACAGTTTCTGACAAAATGATCGTTAACGAAGATTTTATCGCAACCCATTAACTTTTAACTGGCGTTTGCAAAACAACTCGTAACTTTTAATTGTGTCCTGATTAAATTTTATTATATAAATATTTATTTTTGCAACATTTCAAAATTGTACAATTTTTTGGCAGATTGTTTATGAAAGCCTGAATCTTTATTAAAAGATTTAGAACATAGAATAGAATTACCACTTACTTCGTCTTTTTTTCTCCATTTGTAGAGCTCGTTTAGCTGCTCTCCTGACTCTCTCTTCTTTTTCTTGCTCCTCCCTACATCTATGAAAGTTCTCCACCACGACTCCCACAAACATATTCAAAACGAAGAATCCCACTAATAGTATAAATGCAATGAAATATAGGAGTCGCCATTCAGAGTAGTTTACTATTGGCTGGTAAAGACAAATAAAATAAAGAAGTTAATAACAATCAATTCATTCATTGAGAATTAAAGTATGATATTTACAGCATAATTTTATAATAAAATTAATAAACGTTTTAAATAAAATTATCTGAAAAGATAGTCTTACTTAAAAGCATAATATTATTTAATTTACGAATAGTTGGGAGTTTTAGTTACTAAAATTTTTGTGTCTCTCGCGCTTTTTAAATAACCCACATATTATAAAATCGAGATAAAGTGATATATTTTTTTCTTTCTTTCACCGCCTTAAAGTAAAGAAAAACTTTCAAGATAAAGATAATAAATATAAGACACAAATGAATACTACCTGTTGATCAACTCCTACAGCATCTAGTCCAGTGTACATGATGTTAACCCAACCATCCCTTGAACTTAGAACGAACAAGGACATTAAAGCTTTTCCTAAATCATCAAAATTATATTTTCTATTCACCCATACATTTCCTTCAATTGCAAGACAATCGGACTTATTCTTAACTGTTTTAATATTTGCTCCCTCACAATAGAAAAAAGCTCCTTTGAATAACTAGAAAGGAAATATGAAATTAAAATAATATTACACCTAAAACCTTAAAGATGAGTGAATAAAGAAGAGTATATTATCTGAAATACAAATCGATAAATATAGTAAACTTAGAGCATTCACAGAATAGATTTTGCAGGATTACAAGAATAGAAACACAAATAATATTTTACTAACCTGTACTCCTAATATGCCAAATATGATAAAAAACGTACAACATATGAGTACGATATTACCGATGGGCCTAAGAGATGATAAAAGTGTTTGTACGACTAATTTTAAACCTGGAGCCCTGTTAATAACTCTTAGAGGTCTTAAAGACCGTAATAATCTAAATACCTGAAAAATAATAAATTACTTGTACACATCGAGAATAAAATTGTCTTAAAGATTAAAATTAAAAAAATATATCGTGACAATCCTACAACAACTATGTAACAACATAGAATAATAAATAAAATTATTCTCACCCTTAAAATTCCAAATATTCTCGGACTCGATTCGGATACTAAAGACATTAGTAAGTCTATAATTGATATTATAACGAGGGAACCATCCATTATGTTCCATCCCGATGTGAAATATGCTTCTGATCCGTAGAACATTCCAGATGCTACCACCTTTTTAGATAGTATTAAAAATTTAATATTTATATTAGCTATCGTAAGTTTTATAATGTTTTAGGTACATATATATTTTTAGTTATTATTAGAACAAACGTTTTATTACTTGAATCTTCAATAGTTATTTCTACTTTTTTTTAATATTAGTAATATTAAATTTACAATGATGAAAATGTTAATAAATATATTTATACAAAATGTTTTTATTATAAATACCTACCTTTATAAACATCTCAACAGCGAAAACTACAGTAAAGACATAATTGGCACTAGATAGAAAAGCTCTTTCTTTAGAATCTGGTGGAATGTTGGGTCGTTCCATGGCCAGTGTTATGCAGTTTAATGCAATGAATAATAACACGATATTGTCGAACCAACCTCGGGTTACCATCCACGTACATAGCCTCCTTATTCTGAAAAATAATGTAATATTTGCATTTTCTGTGTACGGTGAAGAAAAATGTCTTAGGAAAAACTTCCTGTCTTCTCAGACAGGAAAAACTTGCTAGATTCCAGAGAATCTAGCAAGTATATTTACGAAGTGCCATGCCCAGCAGTGGGACGTTAAAAAGGGCAGAATATAATAAAGTCTACGTAACATGTGCTTAATATTATAATTAAGTTTAAAACAAGTAACAATTAATATTTTATTTATTATTATTATATGGAGAATGAACTGACACGTCGGCGTTTGCAATACGGATTTGATTTCTAGATATGGATTTTTATTGTTCTATAATTTTTTGCTATTCCGAACTAAGCTTTCAGAATTTTCCACAAGCATTTAATAAAAAAATCATTATTCATTCATTCAATTCACCAATAACAAAACAAAAGACTTCACTTTTACTCTTCTTATTAAGTCATTAAATCAAAGCTTTACAAACAACTACGTATAAAAATTAAGGAAGTATTTTAAATGCCATTTATATACTTAATATTATTTTTATTCTTTATAGAAATCCCTGTCTTATCCTATCTTATCTCTATCTTATTCTAGACTTCCTAATTTAATCATAAACTTATTATAATATTGAAAGCCAATAAGTTACCAATTAGTCACATCGATGCGCTTTGAAGGATAATTGCAATAACCTCCGGGAATTTGCAATCACCTAAGATACGTTAATTGAAATTCATCAGACGGATAGACTTCATAGTCTAAGTTCCGTTAGTGAGTTCATTTATAATATTTTAATGAATTTTAAGTAAGATTACTTCTATATTTATAAAGACCAACTTACAGAAAATAATAAACACATATAACCAAACAAGCGGCTCACCTTCGCTTCGCTCGGTTTTCTAGAAAAACTCAAACAAATCTATCCCTCGGGAACCGTACATTTTTTCGGGATATATCCCTATATACTTTATAAAGTATATAGTATATATATACTTTATAAAGTAGCCTATGTGTTATTCTAGACTATAATCTATCTCTGTGCCAAATTTAATCCAGATCCGTTCAGCCGTTCTGATGTGAAAGAGTAACAAACATCCAGACTCACAAACTTTCACATTTATAATATTTATACAGATACAGATAACGATTCATATGTACATGCTGCATACAAATTTTCGATCAAAGTATACAATATGTTACCGGCCAAGCCCGACTTCAGACCAAACCGGTTCATTAATATAAGTGTATCAGGATATACTAGTTTGGCCCAGAACAATCTAGTTTGGATTAAATACTTAAAGATTAAATGGTTTGGCCTTGGCCGAACTGATTAAGTCATAAGCAAGAAACAAAATAAACGTGGTGGAACTCTAAGTAGAACAAAAATTTCATTTTTAATTTTAGTTTTATTATATATTTATAACTTATGATATTGGGGGTTCTGGATTTGAAATAAAAAAAAACCTATCGAGAAAACTAAGGCTTTCTCAACCTACGTTATCTAAGGCCGCGTCCCTTATACTAAAATGCAGCCGAATGATACATTAGGATCAGTTTGGCCTAGGACAAACTAGTTTGGTCTGAAATCGGGTTTGGCCAGTAACATATATATCTCATTTTAATTTAATAATTTATTTGATGGCTAAATTTTGATATAGAAACTTATTGTTACCTTACAAGTTGAAGTAACTCAACGTTGTGAGTGTAGTTGTAATGCTTAACTACTACTCTACTTTACCAATGCAAATCAGATCTTATTCATTAAAAAGTACAATAACATCACAAGCTGCAGTAAATTTCAAGATATTGCATACAATTTAAATGGCAAAAAAGTCGGAAAGCAAATTCAATAAAGCTCATATGCCATCATATCCAATATTTATTCAAGGGCCTCCCTGCTATGAACATCGGTATAAATAAATATATTGAACAAACATATCGGTATTTTATTCCTTACTTGTTATCTGGAGCAAATATGTACAGAGAATAATCTTCCTTCTCCTTAAGACACCCCGTCGGCTCCATAAATCGAAAAAGGTCCTTAAATCTGAACTGTCGCCTATCGAATCGCGACGAGAAAATACAAATATTGTGGTTTATGGTCACCACCTGCAAGCAATTTTCCCATTAAAATACAGAATACTTAAATGTATCATTAAAAATGTAAATTATTTTTTGTTTTAAAAACACTACACCAATTGAAAAATGTACCCATTTTTTCATCCCACTCATCCCTTATGTTAGGAAAGTCTTAGTCTAGACTTTAGAATATAGAATTTTTAAAAGAAAAAAATTTGAAAAATAATGTAATATGTTTAAAAAAATATTACGAATTCTATTATTTTTGAGGAATCATTAAAAATTAGTCAATTTTGTTGATATAATACTCTTCAGATTTCCTTACCTCTTCGTTAATTTGTTTAATTAATGGTAAACCTTGGTTATTTGATCTTATGGAATCATTTCTTGGTGGCCGCGATGGTATTTGCGCTAATTGCGGGGTGGAAGGTGTCAAATTACTGGTCTTTACCTCTGATACCGTAGTCACTGAAATATACACTTTTAGTATAATAGAATATTTAATATATAATTAATAATAAAGTTATAGTTGCATTTTAATGATTAAATAGTACTTTTTTTTAAAACAATATTATTTTAAACAGCAAAAATGAGTGTTTTACTAAGATCCATTTTGGATAATACTGAGTGAAAACACACTATAATCTTATAACATTGTATATATAATATATTCAAGTTATACTTAAGTAAAGATAGTTGAGCAATTATAATTATAAATATTTCTTAAAGAATACCTGTTAGATAATCATTTGTGAGAGATAGTCTATGTGGAGGGGCTTTAGTATCTAGTCTTACTGTAGAATCCGATGAGAAACCAGCTTCAGGAGCTTTCCATGAAACCTGTAAAATTTCATTATTTATAAACTAATTTAATTTAAGATAAGTAATTATTAAAGTACTACTAAAAAATATTTAATTTCATTAAGCAATATATTTTTACATCTGGTAATATAGGTGTAGTATGAGCTGAAACTCTTCTCGCTGGTGGTGCTAAAACTCTTGAAGCCGGCAACTGTCCTTTCGATCTGTTATTTGGAAGCTCTGACTGAGTGTCGTTTTTTATCACCATAGATGACGATAAAAGTAATTCATTCTTTCGTAGATTTGAACCTGTAATAAAACAGGTATTTAGTATATTGAGACACACTAATTGTGTACATACAAAGGATTTACGAGTATAACCGTATAGCTATTATTAAATAAAACTATCTTTTCGGATAGGCAGTGGTAGCCCAGTGGTAACGCGCTCGCTTGGGAAACCGAGTGAAGCGGGTACAAATCCCAGGTCTCGCACCTCTGATATTTTCATGTGCGAATCATTTCTAACATGATTACCATTTGCCTTACGGTGAAAGAAAACATCGTGAGGAAACCTGCAAAGACATGTGAAGTCCACCAATCCGCACTTGGCCAGCGTGGTGGACTATGGCCTGATCCCCCTCGTATGAAGGGAGGCCCGTGCCCAGCAGTGGGATGTTAAAAGGGCTGAATACAATACATACATCTTTTCGGATTATTTCGCGGATTTATTTTGATCCGCGATCCGCGAAATAATCCAAAAAGATAGTTTTATTTAATAATGTCAAACATTCCCGTAAATCTATGAAAGTATTACGTATAGCTATTATAAGGATTTAATACAGTACAAGCCAAAATAATAGTGATGTATTTATTTGAATGTTTTTTCTAATCGTAGTCACATGATCGTAAAAAAATATTTTTGTTTCCTAACTAAAACTTTAATATGCAATATTTTCTTTTTGTCATTTCGATCTTGTAGTTGAAAATAATTTGATTTGGTCATAAAAACTACATTTTATGGCTAAGGACAATATAAGGCAAAATTATTCCATGTAATATAGGACTATATCCTATTTAGCTAAAGCCATGTAAAACATTATTATTATGATTTAATTTAAATACATATACCCATAAATATCAAACTAATTTTTGATAACACTAACTTACCATTACACGCAATATGATCTCTTCCATTATTTAACACTACAGCATCTGAATCTGACCCTGTCCTTTGTTTTTTGCTCCTTCGAAGGCTGGGTCTAGACAGGCGCCAACTGTACCCACGTTGTACTCTGCATTTATCATCTCCGTTTATGATTGGAGTTGTTACTGTGAGACTTCTGTAATTATATTACTCATGAACTGGTTTTGCAATATATATATTAAAAAAGTGAATTAAAAAAAAAATTAAACATTTTTATTTCCTTTATCATTTGAGTATAGCGTTCTTGAAATATATCTTTTAATATTTTAATAATTACATTTTATTAAATTTTAAAAAGTGACCTGTAATTATTTGTTAAGATGTATTTATGTTTATTTTATTTACAAAATCGTTTTATGACAGCTACCAAATTTCAATTTAAATTGTAGCTTTGTATCCGTCAGTCCTCAGTTATAATTGCTAATAAAATTAAGCTTTGAAATACACCCACCGCCTTAGAATTAATACTTACTTTTGAGAACTGAGCAAACTGGATTTGTCGCTAACATTAAGACAATTATCATCCTTAGCGATAGTGACTTGCAAATTTTTTTCTGGTACCATCGGTGAGGGCATTGACCTCGGCGTGGTCGGTGTTGATCCAGGAGATGTAGATCTTGAAGGTGGGGGAGCTAAGGTTAAAGGAGGAGGAGCTAAGGTCATTGGGGGAAGTCTAGCTTTTTCAGCTCCTAACTGAGCTGCCGCTGAATGAAGTGTGAGTGTATAACTGTTTGGAGGTTTTAATAAGCCTGGTATGCTAGCGCACTGAAAAATTAAAGCAATTGTAGTTTTTATAGCAATAATTATATATGTCAATCAATCATACTAAGATTTTATACTTATTTATCTTTTTAATTAAAATATTTATGTTTTAAATTATTACAACATATTTTTAGCTACGAAATAAAAAATTGAGTACGCAAAAATATTTAGCACGAAAATACATACAGAAGTCCGATCTATGGAGTCTAAGCTTGAAAGCATTGTAGATTTTTCTAATGTCAAAGCTACATTAAAATCTCTGAACGTAGCACCAGGCTCTAAAGTCGTAGATGGTGAATCTTGTGGTGTAGCAGCAGTATGAGTTATCATTGGCACTACTGTACTATTGTTCTCGATTGTAGCACCAGTACTAGATGCTAACATTTTAGATTCCTAAAATCATGTAACATATATTAAAGCTGTTCTGTTATGTTCTTGTACCCTAGTCCCAGTGATAAATATCAAATGTTGCATTTAATTAATATGCGAATAAAGGGTTCATGCTAATATGAAAATTATGTAAGTTGGTTTAAAAGAAGAGGTCTTAAAATTACTCATCGATTATTAACGCTATTGACGTAAATTATAATTCAAAGTAATTATATGTATGCTTTATATGTAGATTTAGGATATTTTACATGATATGTTTAGCTATTTTGACATTTTCATGATAATAAATGAAAAATTATGTTCATGCAAAATGGTTCTAATGATTAAATATTTTTCAATAAAGATTTATTTAATATTTCTTACTAAAAATGAAATATTAGACAAGAGCAAAAATATTACAAAATTCTTACAAATTAGGTTTTTTATAACAATAAACTAGAAGAATTTACTTAAAAGCATTACGAATGTAAGAGTGGGATTTCTATTAACTTTAGTTTTAAAAGGACCGGCCTTACATGTTGAAAATGGATTAGACGAAATAGAAAGCGTTTTCTACTGATTCAATACCCTTTCAACTTGTTACTTCTATAAAGGGGGGATTTAAAGCGTATAGGTTTTCTTTGTTACGTACTTATTTGCTCGTATTCATTGTGAACGTGTGATAAGATACTTACAGTTATGTTAAAAATAGATATATAAAATTAGAATTGAAAAGAATATATCTAAATAATACATTTTTACATCTCAAAGAATACCTTTTGTATATTGCATTTATTTGACTGAGCACAATCTTTGCATAGCGACGGATGATGAGTTGATGATTTTGTTTTACGACGTCCCTTTATCGCTTTTTCTTTATGACCGTTTATGTCATCTTTGGCTTTGCTAACGTCATCTGCCGACTTCCAGAAGTTTTTTATTTCATTCTGCTTAAATAAGGAATACTATTGAATATTTTATATGTAGTATATTTATTAGGACGGTCTAGGTGTAGAAATACTAATTTGATTCTAAAATTAGCAAATATTTGTATTGATCATACAAATACTTATTCAGGTCTGCTATACTAGTAGATAGAGCGTGGTAAGGCAAAGTGTACTGTCTCTCGGCACAGGTGGTGAAAGTAACTTAAATATATTCAATTTATCTTTTTCTCTAAGGGAATAAATAGGTTATTGCTATAAATACTAACAAAAACTTATTACACCACTAAAATAATAAAATAACTCACTTGAGAAAAGCTGTCACTAGAATGCGATCCTGAATTAGATTCATCATATTGTAATTCATGATTGTCAGAAAAGCATTCACTGGACAATTTGGATTTTGCCAATTCGCGCTGTTCACGCTCTCTTCTTTCGTTTCTCTAAAAGTTTCACACAGTAAGTTATTTATTTGAAGAGAAAATTATTTTTTTATTATAAAATAAATTACCTCTGAGCTGAATCCTTCTACAAGAATGGCTACGAGCAGGTTGAACAATACGTAATTGCCAAAAGTCATTAATGCCACAAAATATAACGCGGCCCAATGACTCGTTTTTTCCATACCGTTAAATAAAACAACATTCCAGTCTTCCTGAGTTAAAACCTGGAAATTTTAATTATATTAAAATATTTTATTTTACACGTCGGTCACTCTACCACAACATGTATTATCAAATATCACAAAATTCCGTAATAAATCATAATAAGCGAGGTGTGCTGTCGTATTGTGTGAAAGTAGTGCCTTACGTTGTAGAAAACTTGTTAGTATTAATGTAAAAAAAACTTAATCAAACAAAAATAATTGTAAGTAAATAACGTGTAAGTGTTAATAAGTATTATGTTGTGGTGTTAGTGACAACATACATTGTAATGAAAGGTAACACAGACGGCGATTGGAGTACACAATTAAAAGGGGTACAGCATTAATACTAAAAATCTAAAAGCAAGATGCACTAACTACTAACAGCGTATAACAAATGCAGATAATTAAACTAGTTATAATTGACAAACTACTGCAGCGTATTTCTCGATTCCAGGCTCAAGTGATCAATTCTATAAAATATTATTATTAGGTATTTAAATGAGAAATGAGATTCAATAGAATTGCTGTAAACACGAGAAAAACGCACCGTCTACCCTCTAAAAGTATACTTGAACGGGATCGCAAATAAACTGACAATGTAACTTTTTATTATTATAAGACTTACCTGGAATACGGTGACGGTAGCCCAAAGGATATTATTAAAATGTTTCCTGTCGCATTCACATTTTGGATGATGTGAGATGATTTCAGGGCAGGTACAGTCCCTTTCGGTTCCGTTATCTTCGACGTACTTGCAAAACTTACCACCGAATAGATACATGCCCAGAATACTGCGCGCGATGAAAAAATGAAAGAAAAACAAAATGCTATGCGCATACGCGACCGAGTCTAGAAGATGTATAGTGCGCCTGCGACGCTAACACTGCACCTGCTCATGTATTTATTGAGATGTAGTTTACGGCAGAAATAAAAAAAAAATATTTACTTATGTTTTTCATAGCGATGATCTTATAGACATTTAATAAAAATGAGATAAGAATATGAGATACGTTATTTATTGTAATATTGTACTTACAAGTCTGCTGTGCCGTCGAAAATTAAGCAATTATTTTTCTTGGTTTTTATACTACCGTAAACTAATACTGTATTTATGTAACAATCAAAGTTACAGGTAAAGTGAGAAAATTAGTAAGCAGTGTTATCGCCGTTGGTACGCCATCACCAACGGGTTTGTTAATAAATCTAAATTATGAACTTTGTTTAATATAACGTTATTTAGTGCAAGATCCCCCATAGTATTTAGCATTCATCTTTATATACTGCCTCGTTATTTCAGAATAATAAATGCAATAAAATTAAAAAAGTTAAGAGAAAATAGGCAAAATAAAAGTGCATAAAATATTGAAAAGAAAATTCATTCAAATATTTTATGATTTATTTATTATAAACATTATTCAATCATTCATTTAAATGCCTTAAGGATGCCTCGATGCATAAAATAATAGAATAAGTTAAGAGTTTTGTTAAAATATAGAACTTATATTATGAAATATTTAAGAATTTGAAGATTATCATTGAAAAAAGGGAAAGAATCGGAAACGAGAGATCATTATCAAATAAGGAAAATGCAGGATATCCTGATGAAGCAAGTGAAGTTGCTAAGGAAATAATACTAGTGATAAAGTGGAAAATTAAGGTTCGTTAAACTAAAATACATTATCAAAATAATTTGTTTCATACAGACCTAATAGAAGCAGCATGCAAAGTGATAGATAATTGTTTTTACTGAGTAGTTGTAGAAGTGAAGTTAGAGGAACTGACGAAGATATAACCCGCGACTCGTATCGAAATACCTACTCTACCTTACGAATTAACCAAGCTTCTTTCTAAGTAATGTGCTGTCGACCTTAATGGATTACTGTACGGCACAATGGTGATTTGTGATTCTAAATGATTTTTGAGCTGTTACCAATGATTCTATTTTTGATCTACGCGGGTCTAGGGTAGCGGTTACGCGTTTTACACTGAACTGCAAACTTTTCAACTGTAGAAAATACAGGCTATATCTGTTTCAAAAATAATAAAAACGGCTCTTGAAATGATTTGCAGAGCAGTGGACGTTTGTGTACTCGCGTGGTTAGTCGATAAGCCGTCATAACAATTTTCTGTTAAAAAGTCATTCTGTTGAGTGTTGACAACGGACCGGTAAGCGTTTAGTAATGCAAGTTTTGTCTGTTTTGATTGTCTGTTTAGTACTTTAATTTAAAATGTTCAATACCTGAAACACCGTGACAAAGGCCCACAATAGCGTATCAAAGTTTTTTCTGTCGCACTCTAGATCGCCCTCCTCATCTTTGTTGCAGAATTTGCACCCGAAGAGATTCATACCGAGGATGCTGAACGTTAGCACGCAATATACGATTAGATAAAACGATTGCTACAGTCTTTTCGATAGATATTAATAAATGTATATAATATATAAGTGTAAGTTAAATCTAAATGAAAAGTGACAGTGCAGGTGTAAATTAATTGTGACAAAAAGCAAGCGTGAAAGTCTACAAATAAGATATAGAAGAGAAAAGTTGTAAAGAGTGTGGATAGTGTTGTATGTTATATGTCAGAAGAAATGACTAAACTAAAAGATAAGGGAACAGATAACAATAGGCAGAAAATAAAACAGGAGAAAGTCACTCACAGTTAAATAGTGCACAGGTTAGGGTGTGACAGGTAAGTAGAAACTAGTTTACATTTTATGAGGTGTCGTATAAATCTTCACTGTCTACGAAAGAAATAAAATATAGCAATCAACGATTGCTTTTTAAAATTTTGTCTACTTGATCTACTAAGCTACTACAGAAATAAGTCACGCGTAGTATAGCTTTGAAGATAAGAAAAGTAAAAGATTATTTGTTTGGATATCAAGACGTTAAAAGAAATTCGCTATTAGTCGCAAAGTTGATAGTTATCAAGTTGTTTAATCCTTGAGAGTTATTGGGAAATAATAAATAAAAATAAACATAAAATAATATTTGGGAGAAATAATACTTTTATTGGAATAGGTTGGTTAATCTTTTCCTCTAGAATTTAACTTCATGCATTTTAATTTTATATTTTAATTATTATTTTAAACCCTACATTAATCTTATATAAATTATATAAAAATACCCTTTGAACCTGACGCTATTAATTTAAAATTTTCCCATGATAATGTATAAATGAAAAGAACAAATAATTACCTGAATATAAAAATGAAAAGGACAAGAAGGGAAAAGAATACAGCAACGTTGTCCATTGTTCTTAGCATGACGAAGAGCTGTCGTCTTAAATTAGGCATAAATCGAACCAACTTCAGTATGCGTAAGAGTCGAAAAGTGCGCAGTACTGACAGTCCAGAGCTTCCGGCCAAGTCATGTTCATTACCCATGCTATGTGCTAATTCAAATGCACTGTGTAAACAAATAATAAATTTGTTTAAATGTAATGTATATGATATTCATGTTTATATATAAAAAAAAATATTTTTCAGTCTGATAATAACCAATTTAATGAATACTTTTGATGTTGAATACCAAATAAAATCAAGTAATATATTGATTGCTATACTTATAATAATATAAAATTAAGCAAATAAAATTGTCTCATAATATTCATTGTTTAGTACCTTAATATAACAATAACACCGTCGAATACATTAAATCCATTGGAAATATACTTAAATGGTCCTTCGGCGACGATTTTAAGAATCATTTCAACAGCAAATATGGCGGAAAAAACAACGTTGCTAATTTCAACGATTACAGTCAATTCTTCAGGTTGATTATGATATTCTATTCCCATTGATAATGTATTTATTAAAATAGCGAGCAAGATACCTAAAACATAATTTTCAGTTGAATAAATGTATTTTTTTTAAATGATGAATAATAATCTAGATTTCTTATACCTTGTTGAAAGTATTTATGGTTTACAATGATTTTTATATGTTTCCTTAGTTTTGACAACATCTTTGATATTTGACGCCAAAGTGATATGCACGCACTTGAAAATCGGCTTTTTCTCTTTTCAGCAGCTGCTGCTTCCGCTGCAATTAATTCGGCGCAACATGAAAAGTCATCTATTTCTACAATCTGAAACAATACAATTTAATCTATTATCTTCTTTAGTAAAACTCCAATAGATATACAAAAAAAGTGTAGGATAAAAATAGCAATGTTAATTGTTGAAAATTTCGTAATAGATAAATTACGAACATTTATGGCAGCCAAATTATTACCAGTAAAAATATTTCTAACCTTAGTTTCCAATTTTTCTTCCCCAGCTCGTTTGCTGATGCCTTTTGTAAGTTCTTCGAAAAATGAATCTAAAGCGACTTGTCCCGTTGGTAAAGCAGCTGACAAAGCTCCAGATAATGCTAGAAGTTCTTGACATGACATTGTTCCTCCTGCTCGCTCTTCTACTGATTCTCCTGCTGGCAGGTCGAATTCTATGCCCAAAATAAATGTCACTACTGTGCATATTTTCAGTTCGATTATGTATTCTAAGTTTATCAAAAGTATCATTTTATTTCAAATTATAATCAATATATTATGATACTTTTAATGGTACTACATAAAGTGTGTAGAGGGGAGGTAAAGAGAAAGAAATAAAAGCAGAAATGTGAAGCCTATTTAAGGAAAAGAAGCGATCACTTTGTATACCAATTACAACAACCTATACAAAAGTTTGACATTATAATTATTTTAAATAAATGTTCACATAATTTTATCAACTAAATTTGTTTACCCTATTCCTACACAAAACCTTACAAAGTTGAAAATCTTCATATTTCCTCATCCTAAGAAGTAAAAGAGGGAAGTGAAGTTTAGATTGATTTGCGCATGCGCATCTAAAAGTTTGTTTAGATCTACCACTCTAGACTCACCACTTTGGCTTATAAGCCACTCACGTTGACACAATGAATCTATAAATATTTTTTGAATTCGTTAAAATATTTGCTGAAGCTAAATATAAGAAAAAGGGGAGATGAAAGTATTTGGAAATCACGAATAGGAAATAATAACAAAAAGACTTGCTGGCATTCGTGCGATGTTAATCAATTTATTGCTTAAATTATATTATAGTAAATTCTAAAGGTATTGTTTCATATAGTTACTTTTTTTATAAAAGTTAGTAAACATTGTTCATGTTTCAAATGCGCTTACCAGTTTGTGTCATCTTTTCAGATGAGCACACATTGTGAGGATGTGCTAAATGTTGAGCATTTGGTACGTGAAGTAAAACTGTGTCGCTAAACATCACTGAAGATCTTCTCCGTGCAAGCGAAGGAGGCGATAAAAGAGACAAATTCGATGCATTCTAAAAAGAACATATATTTTATAATGCCCACAATTTTTTAAATATTAAGAGAAATATTATAAGTTAAAATATAACTAAGATAGTATTAAAAATGCGTTTTAAACCAAAGAACAGGAAGCGTAGTAGATAAGAGGAAATTATTTAAAGGTAAACCGAAATCAATAAATCTTTTATCTCTTCAGCCCAATTGAATTTCAATTTCAAACGCCTTTGATACAACGTAAACTCAATTTAGACGGTCGATGTTCTTTTACGTACATATACATACATGTGGAACGCAAATGGGTATGAATTCGATTAAAGCAGAATATGTATACTGATCTCGTTGTATTTTGTTTAAATTACCCTATTGCTATTGACCTTGAATTACTTCGAATTAAAGTTATATTTAGGAAAAAAGCAGATTTCTAATATATAAAATTATGACATCGATTATAACAATTCACTTTATCGTGGTATTAATACCTCGAGATCGGCTGCAGAAAGGGATGGTACACGCAGTAAACTTGGTCTACTGAGCGGTTCATCGCCCACTTCTTCGATAGTTTTTCCATTACCCTATTAAAAATATCAAAACTTAAAGTTAAATATTTGTTCAAAGTTGTGAAATAATTGAAGAGTACCTATCTATACATATAATAAAATTGTAACTAAGCCGAATCTGTACATTAAATATTTTTTGAAATCTTATTGAAATAGACATTATTATCGATACAGAGGCGGAAAACTACTGGAGGGATTTTGATGAAATTTGGTATGATTGTAGCTGGTTATCCAGGGTAACATATAGGATACATTTTACCGCGGGAAAATGTCTCAATTCTGAGAAAAAAATAGAAAAACTGAAATATAAGAGTATACCAATATGTAAAACCTAAGAATATGATTTTTGGTCATCTGATTGCGGGCGGAGCCGCAGGCAATGCTAGTAATAAATATAATACTATAACAAAAAAATATTTTAAGCGATATCATATTATAAATTATGTTTTCTTTGATATATTTCATAACGAAAAAATATATGTAATAATAGATAGTTTAGTTAAATAATTATTACTTAAAATCAAAAATTTAAGTTAATCTTTTTTACTGTCTATCTTATATTATAGCTTGATGAGAGAACTACCACAGACACATATTATGTATCTTCATATCACTTCATTGAAAAAAACTAAAAACATTACGTAGATTAGATGCTAAGTGCATTTAAACAAAAAGCTTTATTAATAAATATGCTTTTAAGAAACGTAACATATAACTCTATTTTATTTATGTCAATAATTATATGACTATAATAATTTTTCACATTCATAAGAATAATTCAATAAAATAAAAAAAGTAAAAATGTACTAGAAATCTAAAAATATTTATAATCATCATTAAATTAAATGAACCTGTGGGTGTACTCGAGGGCAACACGGGTGGTGTTGTTTAGGACGATTTGCCGGTAATTGAAGTGTTTCTTTACTTGTTCGCCATTTTAGTTGTGCTCGTTGATACTTGTAAACTCTACAACAAAATCACATCCATTATATTACTTTCGCGAAAAAATAAACGTCTTCCATTGTTTTTCTCTGTAAAGATGAAAAGTAGCAGAATTTAAGACTTTGTCTTTTTACCTGATTTTTTTTGCCATTCTTCGTTTAAACCGTCTCCACAAATGCGCGACATACTTGACTATTTCAGCGTAGCAAGTAGCTGGCTCACTATTGTTAGTCGACGAAGCTAAAGTCGAAGATGATGTAAAACGAGCCCTTTCAGCTCGCATTCTTTCCATTTCACGTTTCTTTGTTTCACTGAATTGAGTCGCTATTACGACTAGGCAGAGGTTGATCATGAAAAATGACCCAATCTAAAAGCAGTATTATTGTTAGAAATGAAATAAAAAGATTTTCTTTCATTAAATTAATGGATTTCTTCGTTGATTAATAACATTGGATCAAGAAATTACCACAATTAGAAGTACAAAATAAATCCAGTCCCAAAAGCTGTGAGCATCTTGTACGTAGTACATGATGTCTGTCCAACCTTCCAGGGATATAACCTAAAATAATAAGCTATGATGAATGATATATTTATATTATAATCTTTACCTAATATTATAAATGCAAAAGTATGTCTGTTGACTTGTCTTTGTATCTTAATATTTCAAATGATTCCCATGGAATATTTGTGTATTGCAAAAATACTGAAGGATTTTTTTTAACAAGGCTAGGTTAAAAGGCTGTCTGTATGACCAATACAAAAATTTCAACCAGCTTACTTTAGTTTAGGGAATCGAACCGCAATTATAATCGTACTGAGGGGTGGTACTAGGTAGATCAATGCCGTAGTGCATATTAACATGTGCATGACATTCATATATACAATAACAATATTCATTAGTCATACGTACCAGAAAAATCGCCACCCACGCAAGGCCAATATTGTCGAAAGATATCGTGCCTTGGAAAGGATTGGAGCCTCTTTGAGTGCAGTTGGTATAATACTGGTTCCAATCAACGCAAGAGGTATTAGTCGGGTAGTTGTATGAAAATGGCCTTGCGCTTTCATTGCACACGAGAGGCCCATATCGATAAGGAGGGAAGTTTCCACACTGATGCATCCCACTGTCCTCTGGCGTGGTGCAAATATAATCCAGTTCTTTTGAGAACTCGTAGTAGAATGATATGCTGGATATAAGAAATGACGCATAAATGTTTTGTTAAAAATAAATTAAAATTCTTTTTTTCTTTCTTAAGTGGCTTATATTTTAATTCTTTTATATTAATAAAAATTCTGACAGATATTGAACAGATGTCATTAAGTAATTGTAACTAGATATTTTATGTTCTATGAAGTGCACAGTTGAATTAGTAAAATGTAAATTTATATGTACTATTATGAAAATTTAATATGGCTTATGGAGATTAGTAAAAATGTATTCGTATGTTTGGTTACATACTTATGAAATTTACTCAATCGTTAATAATATTTTGTATTGCTAATAATGTTTAATACACCAGTTATTGAATTAAACATGAGATGTATATAATGGTCTACTTAAACAAATAATGATACTAAATAGAACAGTTATAATTCATGCAATTACTGTACATTCAATGGCACATTTAAGACCGCAAGCAGACAATGAAAGCGTAGAGAAGGGTCGAAGTGGTGAAAATAATTAGCTAACCCGTTTAATATTAGAGACGATAAAGGAATTCTGGGAGAGTCAGGTGAGCATTAGTGGATGGAGAAGATTAACATCAACGGCCTCTTGGTCATTACTCGCTAACGGCACGAGCGGAACATGAATGCTGTAAACCCAAATCATTTGGGTTTATGATACTTGTCCTTTTGATGATGGCCATAAGGTTTTTATTGCGGTTTTTACCTTTTGAGAGATACTCATGAATAACTAAAATATATACTTAATAGACTACACATTTCTCAATGTAGAGTTTAAGTTAATATTGGTGTTATAATAATATGGTGTTTTTGTGATAATTATAAAATGTAAATAATAAGTTAAATAATTAAAGGTTGGTTTTTCGTTATTATACAGTGCACGGATTTAAAAATAAAGACTGAAATGGAAATAACAAAAATCGTACTTTCAATGTAAAAACAAATTGAAACAAATGCAAAAATTAGAAGAAACCGATAGATCTAATCACATTTGTAGTTGAAGTAGAACAAATTGGCAGTTCTTTACTCATGACACGTACGTGAGTGTATTATGACGTGAGTGATAGTGAATGAAATGGTCTGAACCATAATAATTCTGATAAAACTGCCAATTCGTGTAGGAAAGCAGATATAGTACATCTGGACGGCAGATGTGTAGAGGTTACACGTTACGACAGATTTGAATATTTTCAATAACACTTATTTTTTTATCCTAAATTCTTACGAGTTGATTCTGACGCGCACTCTGTACCATTCGGACAGGTCTCTGGAAAACAAATTAGGAGGAATGATGGGTGTTATGTATTCTAATTATTTGCCTGCTATTCATTAGTACGCAGACATGAAGTTAAATATGTAAATTGTTTATTATGATTATGATTAAAAGAAAAATTATTTAAAGAAAAATCACATATTTAACTCCACATTAGATGTAATTTATAGTTAAACTATACTGTTATTAGGAGATATATTTTTTTACTGATTTTAGTTGATGAGATTGAGATTAGTGTTTATTGTTAGTTAGACTATGTAATGTAGCAGTCTTTAATGGTAACAACTACATGATAAATCTAGTTTCGCAACTTTTTTAACGATTTGTCATGCGTGTATTTTAATTTGATCTCGTGTGAGTATCGACGGAATGCAATATTAACGTGTGGTAAGTAAGCTGTTCTGAACATGCGCGTTTATGATGTCGCTAGTGTGAAAAGGTTTGTACCAATAAATTGCAATATCAAATAACGTGGAGCAGCCCTGGATGTGCTCTTTGTGAGTAAAGCGTTAAATATTGCATGCAGTCAACATTAGCGATGGGACGTGCCTCTAAAACGAGCGCGCTCGAGCAAATAGTACAAAATGAAAAAAATCTCGTTATACTGCTATTTTATCGAAGGCACTGTAGGAATTCATACATTATTTCTATAATATTTCATTTGAAATGTTTTACTATTTCAATTTTTTTTAGATATTTTGTAATTCTGAACCTCAAAAATCGGTTAGTGCCACTCAATTTCTGAATATTCATAAGGTCGAAATTTAAAAATATTAAATATAAATCGTATCTGATGATATAAGCTTATAAAATACACGTGCAAATAAGTAATTCTCTTACTTGGGTCGCAGTACGTTTGGTGGCAGAACCAGTTCGCATCGTTGTCTTAGAATTCCTTCCCACAGTTGAACACCAACGATACCGAATATGAAGAAAACGAAGAAACATAATAGTAGAACATTTCCCAACATTGGTAACGTGTCTAGGAGAAGCATCACTAGGATACGCATGCCTGTGAAGAATAATTAGGTTAAAACGACATCTATATTATGTACAGTAGCTATTTGGAAGTTGAAAACTAAAATGTAATCAAAAATTTGTAGGCTAATCAGTAAAGTGATCGTTTATAGAAAGTAAATTTAGATAATGGCTTTTATTACTTAGAATCTGAACAATAAACTATCTTTAGAAACAATGGTATATCGTGACTTAATGGCTTAACATATTATGTTGTGGTGTACCTCAATATAATATATGTATGTATAACAGTGGCAGTCTAATATTACCGCGTTTGCTTGGAAAACGCACCTTTGAGATCATCATGTGCGAATCTTTTGTCATCATCAGTGAAAGAAAATTTTATGCGGAAATCTGTATATCTGACAGATATGCATAGATGTCAGAAGTTTTCGAAGTCGGTGCCAGCTTACAATATTTTAAGGTATCAATATCTAATAGGTAAATATGTATTTTACGTATCGAAATATATTAAGATTTGCTTTGCATCGCCTGGTACCGACTTCGAATATATCTATTCTAAATGAAAACCTCAGTTTATTTATTTTTTACATTTTAGTGCCTGGAAGTCGGTTTTTTTAAGTTTTTTTTGTTTAATAGCTATTGACGAGTTTTAGTGTTATCATTACATAAATCAATAATGATATGTTCGAGTTTCAAACACTGTGAATTCTAGTTATTATTGTTACTCAATATAGATAAAATGTAGTTGTATAATATATTGACAATCTTTGTTCCTAACTGATGCTCAGTCATCTGACTTATCCTGACCCTCTTATGCTACCCACTTATAGCTTATTATAATACACAATCTTTATTTAGCTCTTTACATATTATGCACGTGTGGTTAGAAGCGACTTTTTTACTTAATAAAATAGACTAATGTTTTAGTTTGTGATACTTTGTATATACATATATGTAAGTATTCAATCCTTTTTAACGTCCCACTACTGGGAACTGGTCTCCTTACAATACGAGGGGGATCAGGCCATGGTCTTGGACAAGTGCGGATTGGCGGACTTCACTTGTCTTTCTTCACGATATTTTTCTTCATCCTAAGATAAGTGGTAATCATGTTGTAAATGATTAGCACACGAAAATATCAGAGGTACAAAACCCGGGATTTAAACCCGCTTTCCCAAGTGAGCGTTACCACTGGACTACCACTGCCCTTTTATATATAGTTGATATTTAAAAGTGACGTAGCGTTGAACCTCTTAGCTATTATTAATACTGATATGTGTACGTCAATAAAGGTATTTATACCTAAATACGTTCGACCTAGTACATGCCATAGGTCAAATTTAATTTGAAATATTACTATCCCCAATCGGATGTCGGTAAAATTGATTTCAATTTGCACATAATATCATATTATATTAATTTATTACTATTGAGTCTTATATAATAACGTGAATAAAATTATGTTAAAAATAACATTCTCATCCCATTATTAAATTATTATTAATATTATAAATGCGAAAGTTTGGATGGATGTTTGTTACTCAATCTCGCCAGAAAAACTGAAGGGGTCTGGAAGAAAGGCACAGAGAAAGATTATAGTCTGGAATAGCACATAGGTTACTTTTTATTACGGAAAAATGTACGCTTGCCTTAGGATAGGTGTTTGTTTGTTTTTCACTATGGACGAACCCAAGCGAAGCGAGGATGAGACGCTAGTGATATCTTGTATAATTATCATCCATATAAAAAAATATGTTCCTTTGTTTGTACTGTGTACGTACCTAAACCATTCATCCGATTGTGATAAAACTTTGGTTTCATCATTTGGATTTGGGTTTTGGGTACGTCAAAAAATATTTTTCTTTGTATATTTGTCCTCTATAACGTTCCTAAACGCATAAGAACGCACCCGAACGAAGAAAAGGTAAACAGTAAAGTATTTTTTTAAATTTATTTATTATTTATGAATTCTCAAATTAATTTTTAAGTTTTACATAAAAGATCTAATTTTAAAACATTCTATACGTATATATTACAAATACAATAGGCAAATTTGTGGTTCACTTGCAATGCCGCTGTTGTTTGCGAGTCTCAGATAGGGTAAAGTGAAACTTTACCGTACGTCTTTGTTTGAGCTGGACTAACGTTTCCAAAGCTAGTAGAATGGCATGATTTACTTCATTACCCTTTGTGCACATGCCTTTTACACAATAATCTATATTTTGAATGTGATAAGTATATATTTTTTTTTAATAAATAGATTTAAAACATTTTCCTACTAGACTTAGTTGAGCCTTCGTGGTGTTGTAAACTATATTTGCCAAACCAAAAGTTTTCAGCTAAGTGTACTGATGTAAAATTGTTGCGTAAAGCTCTATAAAACGTTTTGAAGTCTACGACGTATACTTTAAGGAATAGATAAACAGAAGTTATGTAAGCGAATTGTGGTAATATTAGAAAAAATTAAATTATGTGTCCAGTTAAATACAGCAATAGCAATGGTAACCCATTAGAGTTCGCTCGTTTTGGGAACAAAGTGGACTGGGTTCATCGGTTCCCGGGTTTTGTTTGTATCTTGAATTGGCATGTGTGAATTTTATTTTCAATATATGATTATTACTTGAAGTAAAGAACTAATAAATAACATATACATATGCACATCTAAGTTAACTAATTTTCGAAAAACTTGTGTAAGCCTACCAACCAGCATTTGGCCAGTAGGACTATAGTCTAAATAAATTGTCCTCCCTATGAGAGGACGATTTGATCGCAGGCTAATGAAAATTATAGACCTAGTATTAATAAAATATATTAGAATTGATTTTAGTCATTAAATGATGAGAATTATAAAAATATATGTACACATATAGGTAGTTTTATTCTAGCCTGTAGCATTGTAATATAGCTAAGAAACTTCGACTCACTAACAAAGGTGAGTTTAATTTGTGGTAGACTGAAGTCTCTCCCAGATGGGGTTCTCGAAAGTTTAGCATATGTCTCTACTTTAGCTCAACTATGTTTTGAAATCTACTTAGTAGTGTGATTTATACAATTTATTGTTTTAACTTATATGGTAAAAGTTTTCTAAAGTTTTTTATAAATTAAGTAAGCAATTGATAAGACATCTTCAGTGAATATTAAGCTTATACGTCGATATATCTGTCAACGCTGTGAAAATTCAAAAATTGTTATCTGAATAATTCTTCAAAGTATTGTAATAATATTAACTCTTAAAATAGCCCCATTTTAAGCTGATTTTTTGTTTATCTATCTGTTAGTATTTCAGAATGCCTGAAATGTAACTAATACCGGGCAATTACATCCGGGCAAATATTCAGCACATTTTATCCATTTTATCGTCCCACTGCACAATATACGAGTATAACAACAACACTATATATGTATATGTATATATAAAACAAAAAAATCATTTAAAAACCTCTTTAATCAAATTAAAAAGAATTGTAGTGCAGGTGTTTGCCAAATATAAATATAACAACATAATTTTCTACTTTTTTATAATGAAAGCTCAAAATTTTCATTTCGAAATATAGTTTTTAAAACTAAATATTAAAATCTGCAAAGAACAATCTAAGTAGAGATTCATTGTTCTCGGCACGAATTCTCAGGTGCGTTTTCTTCAACTACCAGATGAAGTTTTATGAGAACTCTATTATTTCAAAACTTTGGCAGGCGCATAATAAATCCTTTTGAATTAAATAGAAAACGTGATTCTTTAAAATTAATATTTGAATTCATTAAATTATGAATGTTTGTTAGAATTTAGTATTCAGTGTAAAAACATCAATCACATCTTTATGTCACAGGGTTTTTAGTACATTAATGCCCGATTTCACCAACAACCCATAAGCTACCAACTACGTATGGGATCCCTAGATTAAAAGTCCCCTAAACTAGCCCCTAAATTAAATTTTGTTTTACGATCGTCTTTAAGCCCATATTTCGAGCACCTAAATTTAGGGGGCCTTTTAACATTTAGGTGACCCCTAACTGTCGGTGAAACAGAAACTGTCCCCTAACAGCCCCTAACCATGCTTAGGGGATCCCTTAAACTTAGGCGACGTTGGTGAAATCGGGCATAAGAGTTAAAAGTGTATTATATGTACCAATTAAGTATACGGGCTTATTAAAATGGATGCCAACATTTTAAAAGGAACACCTTAAAATACTTAAAACAGATCTACTGTGTTGAATAAACACCTAATATAAATCTTCATAGATATGTTCTAAAAAAGAGAACACATAAATATTTAAGTTACCATATTATATCTGTTATTTTATTTTTAATATGTATATGGTTATTTTTAGTTCTAAAAACTAGATCAAGTTATTGCTCGTTAATGAAAGACTTATAAACAAATATTTACAAAATAATTACTTTTTATTAAGTTTAATATTAAAAGTTTATAAGATAAATAAAATTCTATAAAGTGAAAGCTCTGAAATCTCTGTTGGTATTTATATTCTTTAGAAGGGTAAATATAAAATCAATTAAAACTTTATACGCGCATTGCGCGGTATTGATCTCACCATCGCTTTTATGATAATCACTACATACCTATAATATAAAATAATATATATATATATATATATATATATATATATATATATAAAATAAAATAAAGCCCCCTGTCGTATCAGTCGGTGTGCTTTGGCTAAGTAATTAAAGCCTACCTATTAAATACATACCTAATCAAATATTTTCGAAATCGGTGCCAGCCCATACAAAGCAAAGCACACCGACTTCGAAAATATTTGATTAGGTATGTATAGTAAATGAAAACTACCAATCAGTTATTTTTCACTTTTTAGTGCTTTTGTTTGAAGTCGGTTTTTATTTTTTTGTTAAAAAGTTTTTTTACGAATGCATTTAAAGACACTGAGATGAACAGACGTGGCCACTTGGAGTCGTCAAACTTATACTGTAACTTATAAGTATTTCAACTTGTTCACTCCAAACTCTAATAACAACTATATTGTACTATTCTAACTGGGACGGTATAGTTTATATTATTAGAAATAGTATGTTAATTAATAAACAGCCAATATTTAAAATTAATTAATTAAAATGCAAAAGGGATTGGATAAAAACTGGATTATTACAAAATGAAAAGATTTCACGTTTACAAGCAATAAATTAAAAGGAATAATTTAATATTATTATAAGTTTTTAATGCTTGTATAATGAGCGATATAATATATGGCCGTGTAATTACTCGAATGGAAATTTTTAATTATGCTGAAGCATTGTTTCCTTCAAATGAAGTTCGCAATCAAGAGAAACATTCATTTGTGCGTGTGAACAAAGAACGTGAGGGATCATTTTAGAGTCTCTTATTTATGGGCCCAATCTTCATATTCATTTATACAGCCGGAAAATATTTTGTAGTATTATTATTAACATATTAATTTAATATTAATGTTCATAATATAAAAGCCATAATTAACCTTTCAAATAAAATTCTGTGTCAAAGCTTGCCAAAAGCTCAAATTTCAATAAATAAAATGCCAATCATTAGTGCTTTTCTTCAAATAATACAAATATTCTACAAACTATTGTATATATTATGAAAATAAAAATTTAAACGTCAAAAGAAATATTCGGAGGCAGTTCCCTAAATTTGTTTAGTGGGTAACATGTAAATTTATCCGTAGGGTGATCTAATATTCCCGGGACCACGTTACAGTGGATTCACTTGTTGCTCCATCGATTCAACGCCCACGTTCTCAAATTTGTTCGAAGTTAATTCCTGTAAGTGCCTCGACAGGGATTTTCTTTAAAAACGCGTGAATAGGTTCTTTGGAATAATAGCTATGTTTGAAAGCTTACCAGCTGGTTATAATTTCTTTTTGGTATATTCTATACTTGTTCTACCTGAGCACTTTGCAATTTTTTTTAAGATTCTTAAGCCATTACAGCCTATTTTAAGCGTTAAGGCGTCATCTTTTTGAGGAGCCACAGTAATTACTAATCTTTTATCAGCAATTCCTTATCTAGGAACTATATTAGTTAATTGAATTTGAGGAGGATTTGCAGTTGATAATGCAACTTTAACTCGATTTTATACTTTTCATTTTTTATTTCCATTTATTATTTTAATTCACGTTTTAAAATGATAATAGTGTACTTAGCGGAAGAAAATAAAAATATTCTCCTATAATATATAGGCTATATATATATATATATATATATATATATATATATATATATATATATATATATCCTAAAACCTGAAGTCCATATTATACTGAAGGTAGCCCATACAAATTTACACACGCCATTTATTTAGTTACAGTTTTTACAAAGGATCTTAGATACAATAGAATGATTTAAGATTATAGAGGTGTAAAAAAATTCTCTATAAAATATATTGTATACTTACTAGGTATCCTATTGATAGCTCTCAAGGGTCTTAGTACTCGGAACGTCCTGATGGCCGATAGATTTATGTTTTTTACGTTCAAAGCGTATTCTAGTGCCCTGAAATATGAATAATAATGTTACAAATTTTAGAGATTTAAAAATTTTCATAGATTTTTATAAAACATATGCAATATGTTTTAAATATATACTATTTTTTATTGCACTTATATGTAAAAACAGAAATTAACATATAATAAAATTAATTAGCAAAGGCGGTTTATCTCTAGAAGAGATCTCTTCCAATCAACCAAAGTGTGTTAGAGAGATAGTATTAAAAAGCAGGTTAACTAAATTAAAATTAATAATAAGTAAAGTTACTTACCCTGCCATAACAATAAAAAAATCTAGCCTATTCCATGAGTCGGCGAGGTAAGTGCCATGTCCATTCACTCCCATGGCCACCATCTTGATCGTCATTTCCAAGGTGAAGAAGGCAAATATTATATCATCGAATACCTGGACGAAAAGGATACATTTGTATATTTTAACGTGAACTGGATTTGTTCCAAATTTTTATTTGTTAAATCTTTGAAACAAATTGAATAGTTTAACCAAAAAAAAAACGGAGATTGATTGTAAACTAATGGTTTGGTGACTTGCAATATTGACGCAATACTTCCAGAGGAGGTCGTGTACATATTTTATTTACTTCCTTGTCTAATACCTGATATTCTGATAAAGTAAAATCCAAGTTCGTATACAAAAAATATTGAAAATATGTAATAGAAAATTCTATTATGTAAGAACACGTACCTGTAATATCTTACATCTGTTAGTGACGCACGCATCGTCCACACAGGGCTGGTACATGCCCAGGGTGACACAGTTTAGAAAGATCACGAGCATCGATATCCTCTCGAACCATGTAAATTTTCGTTAAGGAATTATTTACAAAAGAAAACACGTATTAAAATACTGGTGTCTATATGCATATTATATATATATATATATATATATATATATATATATATATATATATATATTCTACTTAAAGTATGAGTATAAATGAGTACTATTGACTGACATGACTTTAATTAAAATACTTTAAATTTTAACATTTCTAATAAATAAAACAAAATTGTTAAGTAAACAATTTCTCATAAAGTTTGTCTAAGTTGAGTAAAAACACGGATAAAGCGAGCGCTGAATTGATTAACATTAGATATGAAATATAGAACCGTGATTTAGGTAATTAATAAGTTGACTGACGAGTTTAACTTTCAAATGAAATATGAAAGACTTATAAAATCGAAGAACTCTGAAATCGAAACTTTTGAATAAATAATATAATTATATATACCTAACGACAAACGGTCTATAGAAAATGCTCCATTTTTCTTCTTCGCTTTCTTACATTTGCCTGGAACAAATATCTGTATAATCAATACAAATAACTGCCAGTTAAACATGGGCTACACTTGTGTATAGATTGTACGTATTATAACAAAACAAACTAGCAATAAAATCGTCGAAAACCTATTTTAATGGTCTTCTTATATATACTTGAAAATAAATGTATACAATATATATAGCAATGTATGTCTGCTTGAGAAGGTTTCGGACATAGTACCATCAACGTATCAAAATGGTTCGCGATCGTAAAATATAATTTTAATTTTTTTTATTCTTTATCTACGTACAATGCGAATATGGCGTCTAGGAAAGCATATTTGTGTTTTTTAAATAGTTTTTTTATTTTTTTATGAAAGGCTGTGTACTACAATTATTTCATCAACGTGTGAAGTTTGGTAATAATTAAATTTGGCAATTCTTGGCATAATCTTCTTAAAACCATGATAAGTTCTAAATGATATACCAAAGCCTTTGCGTAAAGCACAATGTCTTTAAAATATGCGTCTGCATAAAAAGGGCTAGGTGACAGGTGTTCTTACAACTTGGCAATGTTTTTTTTTCTAAATAAACAAATTCTGGGTATATTTGATAATGGCATATTACTTAAACACTCGTCGGTCTGAGTCTTACAATTTTGTGTACCCCTAAACTTTACAATACTATGCTTACTGAGAATTTTGAAGCACTATTGTATTAAATATTATTTACAGATGAAGCAGCGGCTAAAAATTTTACTAAGGTTTATTACATTTATTTATTTATAAACCTGTTTTGATTATTATAGATATAATAAAAAAATGTGTATTTTGACCGCATATAGAATTATAATATGCTTTTTATATCTGTAGGTCAAAAGGTTTCTCATGAAAAAAGTCTGCCAAAAAGTTGCAGAAATTCACTAACTTTTAATAAATGTGGCAATGTGGTAAATTAATTAACACGAACATTCCGAACATGTTTGAATCAATGTTCCATTATCTATGCTCATTGCTCAGTGTGTATTTATTACTGAGCTCAGATTAATTAGGATTTCGTTGTACTGAATACAGTTACGATTTTCAATGAATCCCATCGGATTATTGGTGATTGATTAACGTTTGCTAACAGCAGTCCATTTTAAATTAATTTTCAATTCAAAATAAATGAGAGTTTAAATAATAAAATGATTATGGTCGAATTTCAACCATATTCATTTTTATGAAGATTACTAGCGACTCATTCTCGCTCGGCTCGGGTTCGTCCCTACTTACGTTTTAACGTTTAGTATAGATTTCTCAGAGATGATATATTTTCCCGCAGTAAAAGTATCCTATATGTTGACCCGGATAAGCAACTATTAACATATGAAATTTCATCAAAATCCTTCCAGTAGTTTTTCCGTGATGTGGTCACAGCCAGACAGACATAAATTCTAAAAACTATAGATTCGTCCTCCGTTTTGATAATATTGTCTATTTCAATAAGATTTTCCAAACGATATTTAATGTACAGATTCAACTCAGAATTTTATTATATGTATAGATTATTAATTGTCTTCACCTAAATTTCTTATATAAATAATTTGATACATTTTAGTTACATACGCTTAGCGGTGTAACATATTCAAACCTTCATTAACAGATTTACTGCTAAGCTGCTGTGTTCAAAGATTTTCGTTGCTGTATAAACTTCCAGAGTATTAAGATGAGGAAACTTAAGTTATCTTGTACAGACGTACGTACACACATATATACATACTTCAATATTTCCTTCATACTAATTCGAGCATTTTGTCTTATACTTAGATCACTATATTTAATAATTATTGATAATTTCTTGTTATTTATCTTACTTAATTATGTTAAAACAGTAATTGTTATGGAAGAGAGAGCACGTGTGACAGAGTAATTAATATATTTACTATGAATTATCTGCCGTTTAAATATATACAATATAATATATTCAACAAAATTATAATTACTCTTATATAGGTGCATATGTAACTATAATTATAATCGAGTAAAGTTATATGTAATACCTGACTAAGAATAGAAATATGAAAGTTTGTGAAAGTGTTCATTTTATATTGTAGGCATTGTTTAAGAAGAGATTTCTCGAAACATAACCCTTTAAAGTGTGAAAAAGTGTAACGGAAATATTTTTTTTTTCTCTTTTTAATTAGAACTTTTTAGTAATGCACTTTGGTGCAAATAATAAATTATATTCTTGACCCTCGCTGTTAAAATTGTGTTTTTTTTATAGTTAATTTAATTATTATTAGAAAATTTCAGGGTAATCATAAGAAAATGTTCGTAAGAAATTGATATGCAACATGGAAAGTGCCGTAGGACTTTATTTTGTCGCTAATGGACTCAGAGCTGTAATAAATCATTCACCAACTAGATTAAGCTCAAATATTTTAGTGGACGAAATATTCATTTTTATTAAAGTTAACACCAGCAATTTGTATGGAAGTGTTCTAAGAGCTACTAACAGAGAAACACTAATAGTATAGGTCGTGTCGAATTATTATCGTCCTATCGGAGTATGTGATAGATAGGAATAGAGAGTGCACTTGATTCTGCGCGTACAAATTATTGTGCACTATAAAATCTCCTGCGCAGTTGGTTATGGAGGATATCATAGTATATTCTACAATGTCTAGGAACATACGATATGAACAAAGATATGGCATTTTAAATAAAACTATCTTTTCGGATTTTTTCGCAGATTTATTTGGATTTTTGGTTCCCTAAAAGAAACTAATGAAAATTATAAAAATTATAAAAATGTTTAAAGCTTAAAAAATATTGTAAGGTAATTGGTGCAATTTTTATTTTGTTAATTGTGCGTAGGCTGTCTGTAACAACTATACCTTCGAGACATGTAACACTTCAGTCTCTCCCGTGACCATGAATGCTGTAAAGCATTCGAAACGTCGGGAACCAAAAATCCAAATAAATACCCGAAAAAATCCGAAAACATAGTTTTATTTAAAATGTCAAATATTCGCGTAAATCTAAGAAAGTATTAAAGATATGGCATATCAAAACTTTTAAAAGCTTACCAATTAAATATTGTAGTGAATAAAGTTCAAATAATTATATATAATATATTTCTAACTTATACATTTTTAACTTCTAACCTTAGCAACACTTGTTGTTATAAAACTTTTCTAAAGCGAATGGAGAGTCCAAAATTTTGTTCAAGGAGGTCTTGTACAGGCAAAACCCTTGGCATATTTTAAGCTTTGGCAGGAAGCTTGTTATGAAGCTTATGTATTTCAATTTTATACAGAATAGATAATGAGAGAATAATGATACATCTTTATATTCTCAATTTGTTATGTTTTAACCGGTATTTTTCGAATCTATTTGGTTAGCACAAGCACTTTTCTACCTGATGAGAGATCGATCTTACACACAGGAGTATGTATATGAAGTAAATTAATTTGTCGTAATATATAACTTTTAATATTATATCAATGTTGTTAAAATGTTTCACTGCCCCTTGTGAGAAAAGGGTGACACTAAAAAGCCTGAAGGTAATTCATAATTTCTCTTATCTTTATACAAATTTATTTATAACTAGCATTGCCCGCGGCTCCGCCCGCGTTCAGATGACCAAAACCCAAATTCTTAGGTTTTACATATTAGTATGCTCTTACAGTGCAGTTTTTGTATTTTTTCTCAGAAATGAGATATTTTCCCGCGATAAATATATATATATATCCCATATGTTGACCCGGATAACCAGCTATCACCATATTAAATTTCATCAAAATCCCCCCAGTGGTTTTTCTGTGATGCGGTAACAGACAGAGAGACAAAAATTCTAAAAACTATAGATTCGGCCTCTGTATCGATAATAATATTTGTTTCAATAAGATTTTCCAAAAAATATTTAATGTACAGATTCGGCTTAGTTACAATTTTATTATATGTATAGAAAATCGTCAATAACATAAGCATCGTTGGCATATATTGTAAAAATAAATATAATAAATCAAGTTATTAACAGAATCTCACAGCCTGCTGTGAGAAAATTCATATTCTACCGCTGTTTCATGGCCTATCCAGGGTAAATACGCCACTGAAACTAACGCATCTAATGTTACTCAACTATTTACTTAGTTGTTGTAAATAATTTTATATTAGTTGTTGTAAATAAACTTATCTGTATAACATTATCCTTGTATTGGGCAATCGTGTAAAAATGTCTACTCTTGTTCAATTAATGTTTGATCGATAGTTATTTAAAATATATAATCGATACAATATTTATAGTCGATATAAAATTATACAACGTACGTTTATAAAAAGATTTTAAATTGATACTAAACGTTTAAATTAAAACGCAAAAGAAAATTTAAGTTACATACAATGTGTTTACGATTGAAGTGTACGTGATATCTTATACCATAAACGTAAAGCTTCTTTCTTTTATTACGAGAGGGGCGAAAAATCTCGTAAATTTATTTTTGTGTGAGCAAACAGTCATTCCGGCCAGGACAAGACAAACAATGATATCTAT